TCCATCCGATAAATATATATATTTTTTACTGTATTTTTTCTCTTTTCTTTTCTTTATTTGAGATGTAATTTAGACAAATCATTTATAGCTACTAGTGGATAAAAGACATTCAGTGTCTTTCTTTTTAATATCCACATTAATAAAAAATAGTGAATAGTTATTAAGAGATTAAAAAATATATATTTGTATAAAAATACTTTTCTGATCTTTGTTATTTATTATTTTACAATTTTTAAAAATGAAAATTATCAATAATAATAATAATAATAATAATAATGTCTATACCAAAACAAAGAATCTGGTGCATATGAATTTATAAATAGGTAAATGAAAAATAGGAAGACTGTTTTGACAAGGACGGGTAAACTAATTGTACTGCTAGTGGTAGCTGTAAAAGGATAAAAAGTGTTTCACTTTGGATTGGTTTAGAGATAGACACTAAAGCATGGATTTATCCATTTCCATGCCCCTTCTGTCATCCTTAGATCTCAAACACACTGTATCAATTAATGAGTGGGTTAGTCCACACTAATCAGATCTTTTAAGTTCAAATCTTAAATATACAGAGTTTATCATTCAATATAATCTTATTTAACTTTAAAAAAAAATTACATTGAGCGGAAGACATATGTGTTTATAAAAATAAAAATAAAAAGTTTAACTATGTGAAGTACATTATTTTAAGATTTTTTTTTGGGCAAAAACTATGTGTAGTATTAATTGTAATAAATGCATTAATTATAATTAAAGCGATTTAGGAGTATTTAGTGCTAACTACCAAGCCAACGTGACTTGTTTTGACCTACTCAAGCATATGTTCAGTTTAATGCTTTCTTCCTGTGCAACAGTATGTACTGTTTTGATTTAAATACTTTTTTTTAAAATTAACAAATATTTCACTAAAATAATTAATCGCAATAAATTCAGAGTTTAATGTTTTGATTATTATTATTTATTTCCATCAAAAGTTATGATTAAATCATAACTGATAATTTTCTTACAATGCCCTTTTTTTTTTACAAGTACAATGTCTGGTTAAACATAGTATTTCATTTTATTTTAATAAAAGTGAAATATCTTCTAATCAAATTCTTTAAAATCTATATTTTAAAGGTTTTTTTGTTCATTGAAAATTTGAATTTTACTTTATAATTTTTAAACATTCTGTTTAGTCTATTTTTTCCTTTCTAAGAAGAAGATAAATCTTAAAATGAATTAACTCAAATGTCTAACTTTGCGCCGCATTAACATCAAGTCCTAACATTTTTATGTAAAAATCTCTTATCATTTTTCACTATCTATAATTTTATATATTTATCTTCAACATATTACACTAAATTTCACAATTAACATAAAAGATAATCGTAATAAGAATAATTATTCACATAATATAGTAAGCATTACAAAACAGTGTATTTGATAAATTTATTGTAATTAACACTAAAAAATACAATAATTAATGGTGTTCATGAATTGATTTAGTTAATTTAAAGAAAAAGTTTACATACATGTACTTATCCTATTAAAAATTATTTTAAATCTATTTCTCATGCCTTGGATTTTTATCTAAAATATTATACCTAATTTATCTATTATTTTTTTCAACAATACAATATATTGATAAATGTATAATTTTATAAATTAAGAAAAGTTAGTTATTATAATTGGCGATAATTAACTATAAATAAGTTAATGTGATATGAAGATATAAGAAATGGGTGTCCTAGGAGTAAAATATAAGATTAGAATATTAGTGGTGTTGCGTATGAAAGAATGATAGGAACTTTCCCAGAAATCGAAGATAGATGAAATAAAATAAAAAGGTGGGTGGGACAAGATTGCTGAGCTCCACATGGGAAGAGTCAGATAAAGTAGTAAAAGGGAAGAGAATGAAAATTCAAATCAAACGGTTAAAAACAAAAAACATGGCTTTGGTGGAGTGGAGGGTACAGTACCTGCCATCGCAGAAAGACACATGCATGCGTACAAATAATTCTCCTGCACATATCCCTTCCCTTCAAACTAATTCTATCTTTATGCCAACATGATTTCATCATTAAATAACAAAGCCTTACGTTTCATAAAGTAATTAACAAAAAAAGCTGAGGCTCACTACCAAAGTATGTTTAATATACATCTCCCAACTTAACAATTTCTGGGGCTCAGACTAAGTATAACGTGTACCTCCCAAAAATATATTATTTGCTAAAGGGCTTATTTCATATATATCTGCATTTCAATTTTAATACAATTTCTTTTTGTAATAAGACAAAATTTTAATACAAAATTTCATTCAACTGTCTTACTTATTTTGTTAAATAAAACACGTATTTTCATAGTAACCACCACAATTTAAAACATGAATTTAAACATCAATTACCCTTCATTAGGGGTGGGCAAAATAAATTGAACTGAACTGAACTTATAAAAACTATACTGAACTTAAAAATAGTTCTTATGAACTGAACTAAACTAAATATTAGTTCAGACTAACTGAACTGAACTATTTTTTTGTGTCATTGAACTGAACTGAACTATACTATAAAAACTTGAACTGAACTGCAGTTTAAACTGCACTGAACTGTTATGATATTTTGAATTGAACAATTTTGACTCATTGATCTATCAAAATAAGACACATTTACCAATATTACTTTATTTTCCATTTTATTTAAATTTTTCAAAAAATATATATATATAATTAAGTCAAACAAACTCATTGAATTTTAAGTCTAAAAATAAGTAGTCCAACATAGCTCAATTGATCCGTTAGATTCGACAAAATTGATACAATTTTTTTTGGATCACTTTTTTTTTTTTTAAGTTTTGGTTATTAGACTATCGAGTTAATCCATTAAGACATAACATGTTAGACACATTTAATTTTTATCCTTTTATAAAAATAGTTCAATTTTTATAATTCAGTTCAGTTTTATAGTTCAATACAGTTAACTATCCAACAGTTCAGTTCAGTTTTTTTACAAACAGTTCAGTTTTTTATAGTACAGTACAGTTCAGTTCACCACCAGTTTAGTTCAGTTCAGTTTTTTTTGCCTACCCCTACCCTTCATTGTTCACAAAGAATTATTAAAAAAATAATAATAATAAGCATACATACATACTTACAGGATATTTCGGGTACAAGTGTATATATATTTTACCGACGAAAGACAAAAATCTTTTAGTGTGTCACTCAAAGTGTAACTATTTAAAAGTAATATGCTGGTTTCGACGAGAATTTTAATAGTAACGACAACTAACCAATGTACCATAAAAGATTATATTGGTTACCATAAAGTTAAAAAGGCAGATCTGGATAATCAATACTCCAACTGGAATGGAAGCAATTTCTACTTTGAATAAAAATAATATATTTATTAAAATTATACAGAGCATGTGTTTTGAAATTTTAAAATAAATAGCAATGCTCTAGTGCCTAATTAACATTCTCTTAAGTAAACGATTTAAAAAGAAATCGCAATGATCTTTTATTCTTAAGATGGAATCATACAGCACACATCATACATCATCCAGCAAATTTAAGCACACTTAAACACTATTCACCAAATCATAACTGCTTACCACATGCTTCGACCACCTTCCATAGCAAACGTATTTAAATATCAAATTTGTTTGAAGACTGACATGTACTATTTGAATATAGACCCACAGCATGCATAGATGAAATCATGTAAAAGTAAATACTATATATACTAACCGTATATATCATCCAATTACAAATTACAACATAAAATAAGATTAACTTTAACAATAAATATCTTATAAATCATATTCTCATTAATTAATATTGTAATTTTTTTTACATTGACAGTATCTAAAAATTAAAAATTAAGAAAACACAACTAAAAATTTCCCCTCAAACGCAAATAATTAAAAAATTGAACACAATAAGTATTAATTTAATAAGTCCATTATGCTTTGTTTGAGAGAGGAGGAATGGAAGGAAATGAGAGAAAATAAGTATTAATTTAAAAGAAAATTAGTAGAAAATAAAATGGAATAAGTGAAATTTGTAGTTGTTTAATAGAGTGAAATTAAGTAAAAAAAAATAGTAAAATTAATATTTATAATTATTATTTTACCTTCATTTTGCAATATAGATTAAATAATTATCTTGTAACATATTGTAATTTTACATATTTTACAAATTCTAAAAAAATTCCCTCCATGAAGAGTATAAAAAATAATGAAGGATCCACTTCTAACTCCTTACAAATTTTCTTAAATACACTCCACCAGACAAGTCTTTCATTTGAAATCCACACTAATCCTTCCTCCTCCCTGTTAAATCACCTCCACCAAACAAAGGGTAAAAGTAATCAACCTTGAGATCCCATACAAGTCCCTAATATCCCTACTAAAAGCAGTTCACTAATGCGAACTTGTTTTTTAGAGTGAAGATGTATTTACCATTAAATTAAATAATTGCAATGAATACACCATAAATTAAAGCAGAGATAAATACAAATTGGCCAACTTTAGAAACGAAATCACTTAAAAGGAAAACAATCGTTGCTATCTTATGCAACAATAAATAAATATATATAAAAAATAAATAAATAAAACCTTGCGGAAAATCTTGTTACTAGATAGAGTATATCATCTGCAGTTATTTATAAGCACTACTTTTGCTAATGACAGACAGCAAAATCTAACATGCCCCAAACTCAAATTGAATCCACTTGTTTCTATGATCAAAAGGTTTTCCACACCACTTGATGTGCAGAGTATTTACACTAAAACATGGATTGGTGCCTTCAACTTTAGTAAGCTGGAATACAATCACTAAGCAGTGATCGTTGCAATGAATCCAAAATCCATTAACTTCACCATAACTATTTCCATTTAAACTTTGGGTACAATCTTGGGCAAGCTTAGAATGTAAGACTGCAGTACAAGTATCAATTATAATTTATAACGTCACCAAGCCCTCTCTACTCGCTGCCTTGTCCAAAAATTCAAACAAAGATCCAAAGAAAGAAAAATAAAAGAGTAAATGAATAATCAACAAGGAATTTGCAGCGAATAGAGGGTTCCATCAATCAATCAAAGTGAACTGCAAACAATCAACTAGGAAGGCTACTAATGAGGGATTTACAGAGTTGGCAGGAAATCATGAGTACAAATTTCCATGCCCCACCATTGTAATAAAAAATATGTAAACTGTAAACAAACAGATTCCAGCCAACATGGGCAAAAGCGAGGACAAGACTAAGACTTTAGATCTCAGTCATTGACTTTAACCGAGATAGTGCGTTCCAGGTTGTCAGATGGTGGAAAGGCAAAGAAATCTTCCTAATGTGCCTAAATATTAACTATCACAGGAAAATTCAGTATAAATTACGATGATTAAAATAAAAATGTTGACAACGCTGACTCCTATTGTACATTGAAACGGTCAGCACAATACATAAAGCTTTTATCATCTCCAGGAATCGGGACTGTAATGCAACTGGAAAGACTTTCTCCAGAACAGTCCACAAATCATTTTACATTGCTATTTCCATGCAAGTCCAAAAACTACATGGTTGGTTTGTATTCTCTCTTGCTCTCTATGACAGCCTTCTTCCTTGTGTCAAAATCAACTTTGTCGAGATCAAAAGCAGTCCCAAGATAACCATACAAGACCCTCCTTTTCTCTCCTTTTTTCTCATCCACCTTAACAAGGTTTGCATTGTTCTCATCATCCTTTCCTAACGTTTGTGACTGCACACGGGCCCAATCCTTGCGTCCATGATTTTCCTTCTCAAAGTGTTCAGCAAGTCGAATGGCCTCCTTAAAGCCTGAATGGTCCCCAGCAAATTTAACCAGTGTTATGCCCAAATGACCATCTCTTCCATATAATGACTTTGATTTGCCACCCATAAATCCAAGCTCTGGAAAACCATGCATGTATATCAGATGGAAAAAAATATAGTCAAAAGCTCACTATCATCAGATATGAGTGGATGATTCAAAAAAAAACCTAAGATTTTGGTTATGTGCCTAACAAGGATTTGTTTGTATAAATGCTGCCATCAAAGGCACATCAGCCAAGTAATTTACATCTTGAAGGAGATTTTGAGCCCAACAAAATGCTGTTTGTCAACGAATACTAAATGAGTGAAATCCGGTGGAACTAGAAAGGGAGAAAAAACAAAGGACAGAATAGTAAGCCAAACTATCTAAATCAAGAGACTATACTGCATGAGCAAGAGAAGAGAACTGTAAGGAGGGTGCTTAAACATTGGAAATATCGGATTCAGTTTTTTCTGTGTCAAATTTCTATCTATCACTAAAAATGGTTTATTTGATTAGGGCAAAAAAGATCAAGGTCTAATAGATTAAAACTAAAAACAGGTCTTAATGGAATTAGCTTGCGGATTCCTTAAAGTAACAGTAACCAGCTATGCTAAGCACTTGCAGTAAGACTAGAATCACGATTCATGAAGATTAGCTGAACTGACAAGCTAGTAAGTAATAAAAAAGAGTTCAAGAGATACCAAATGCAATTATATGGGGCTAGAAAAGCGAAAGGAAATAAGAAAAAATGGAGCAAGCCCCCTCAAAAGAAAAGGTAAGGAAGCAGAAAAAATTAATATTTCACACCAGTCATTGAGATTTGAAAAAGGTAGAACATTATTTAACAAACCCAGGTCAGGCTTACAAGCACAATATAATTCATACAAATTAAAATTAAAAACGACCTTGGGAAACCTAAAGATCAAATCAACTCCTTCTTACCTTGTTAAAGGTCAAGGCAGTTATTACCTTGACTAGTTAAATAAGCTAACAAGCTACAAATATAATTCAAAATTGATCTCAAAATATTTATCAACAACACTATGTGCAGAGACAATATAGTTAAGCATCAACTAGAATAATATATGGAAATTATTTTCCCAAAATAAACAGATATCCTCACAGTAATGCTTATCACTTTATTGATTGTAGCATCAGATATCAATAAAAAATATCAATGCATGCATGTGCATAAATGGACAGGGAAGAAATATATGCACGTGCACAACTTAATATTCTCCATCTCAAAATAAACACCCTCAGTGCTTGATGCAAAAACAACATAGTTTAACATAAACTAAAATAATGTCCAGAAATTATACACACAATGAAGAGCCATCCGACAATAACATTCACCAAAACTACTTTCTTAATCTCCAGACTACCATCATTAAAATATAAGCATTAGCATAGATGCACAGCCACATGTGTGCATAATTACATATATAAATGGACATGTACATATGTCCACAGACACAATTCATCTCAACATACACACCCTCAGTGCTAGGTTGCCAATCAAATGAAGAGCATAGTTAAGGAACAACTACAGTAACATCAGGAAAAGATAGGTCAAAAGGAAGAGACATCCAATAATAACATTCACAACCTACTTTCTTGGCTGTATAATCAACTGTCATTGACATATGAACAAAAGTGTGCACGCATAAATGCATAGGTAACAATTAAGTATCCCCTAGGTAAAAAAAAATCTATTCGTGAACATCTCTATCTATCTATCGAGCAAACAACTTTGAAGCTAGTCAAAGGAAATTAAAATAAACAGAAGAATTATCCAATAAATCAAATTATGAAGGAGGAAAAGAAAGCAAGGATGTGATTCAGTTCAGGTAACATGTACAGTATGAATAATGTTTCATACAATGGGCATGTTTAGAAAGGGTCAACATGTTTGACTTCCACAAAGTAAGCCTCCCCAACTAACACCCAAATTAATAAACCTTCTAAGGAGAAAAAAAATTATAGAAATTCCTCAAATGCTGAGACCACAAACTCTCTTATTCTCTAATTTTTGGCTTATATCCTTGTACCATTAACTGCTTAAACTTCTTCAAAGAACTGCTTTAAAGGATCCCCTAATTTCTTTGCATTGATAGGATCAAAACTCAGTTTTGAGCTACTCACCATTGCTTTCCAGTTCTCATAACTCAATATGTAATTATAAGAGGTATGCAAAAAAACACCCATCTGATTACCAAGTGGTCACAATCCTTCTTAAAAGATCAACAATCAAGGGTGGAGTGAAGGGGAAGTTTTAGTGGCCCAGAACAGGTAACTGACCTTATTAATGAACTGAGACCCATGTTTAGCAGTTCATTTGATAGGAAGAGGCAAAGTGTGAAGGAAAAGAGTGCAACATTCATCATCAAGAACAATGGTCATTATTGAATCAATGCAACAGAAATTCTTGGGGAAGAGAAAGGAACGAATATTTATATAAATTCTCAAACATAAAAATAACATCTATTATATATATCTAAGCACCACATAGAGGACTGATATAGTTTCCCCCAAGAAAAGCTACTTGTACACACGCACAAACACTCATCAATTAACATCAACAAAATTTTCACCATGTGATTGCCCTTTGCATGCAAACTCTGCTTCTACCACCTAAACAATTATGAGATGTGACTCCTTCTTATGAGTATCAAGCATCAGTCCTATGTACTCTCTCGAGCAAGAGTGATCTGTATTGATCATTGAGAAGCTGAATCCTTAGGGAGCTAAACCTAAGAGTTAGTCTGACAATTACATCCAGTCAACCCAAAATCAACATTCTTAAATATAAAAAAAATACAAAACAAAAATAGCTTTTAGATTGACTACAAAGAAATTTAACCAATGCGTAAATTAAATGAAAACCATCCAACAATCCTAACCAATCTACTCAACTTGACTCAAGCATGCATTGTGACAAAATTCTGAAAACCTAATACAAGTAAACCCAAAAGAGCAAAGTAGAATGGAACTTAAAATAGAACTTGATCAATGATTTGTCATCATCTTATCAAAGCTATGATGCAAATGCCTCTAGAGGATTTGCATAATAACTACACATCAAAAGCTACTAACTACAAATTAAAAGCTAATTTTTACATACCAAATCATAACACCATGAAGTTACAGTAACCCTCAGTATTTTGAAGATGTGTCAATAATATAAAAAATATATACATTAACTTCAAAAAATCTGCTTCATATTATTGTATTCTAAATCAACTACAACTGTCAAACCAAGACAAAAAAGGGCATTAGTGACTAATGAAAAGGTCAAAAAAATTGGCTTGGTAGCTTTTGACAAACACAAATTTTGTAATTCAATAGCCAAACCAGAGCAACAACCTACCATGAAAATATATAAGACAGGACTTATTTCAATTCAAGATTTACAAAACTGCTTCAACAAAACTGCTTTATATTATTGTATTCTAAATCAACTACATATGTCAAACCAAGACAAAAAATAGAGAATATACATTAACAGCTTCAAAAAAACTGCTTTATATTATTGTATTCTAAATCAACTACATATGTCAAACTGAGACATAAAATGGAAATAACGACCAATGAAAAGGTCAAACAAATTAGCTTGGTAGCTTTTGATAAATACAAATATTGTAATTCAATAGCCAAACCAGAGCAAGAACCTACAGTGAAAATATATAAGACAGGACTTATTTCTATTCAAGATTTACAAAAAAAAAAAAAAAAAAGCAAAGCAAAGCAAAGAGCAGCCTTGACAGAAGAATCAACTCCAAGAACTCTTTGATGTTAATGGAAAGTCCTATAAAATCAAAATTTTGTATTTCAAGTGAGACGGATGAGGCTCTAATGTCCCAGTTTCTAATTTGATGTTAATGACAAACGCAATAAAATCAGAATAACTTTTCATCTCATTATCCTTAACAGATAATGCCATAAAAGTATTCCATTAAACGGTAGCCTAAGAAGTGGGAGGTTGGCTAACTAAGAAATACTGGGAAAGGCAACTACGAAGTGTTCCCCACTGAAACTGCTCTAAAGGGCTAACTTAGCATGCATGCAAGACAGATTTTCTTGAGCTCATTAAGCCCGTTAAGAAAGACATCATAATAGAAGATGATAAAGAATGGAGGGGCACGTTATACCTCTAATTTTATTATCCATCGTTTTGTTTCCCAAACCCTCCATACGACCATCTCTATTTTTTCCAGTATTTGTGTTATGGATGATCACCAAAGGTGGCCACATGATCAGATCATCCTGATTTGCTGCTGCTTCATCAGCAGATAAAAACTGATACGCCTTTGAGTTATCAGGAGGCTTTGAGTAGTTCCAGCCCATTAAGACACACAGAGCTTTGTGTAATCCCAAATGCTCAACACGTGAATCAGCATTATCTGAGTTGTAAGTGTGCATGATGAGAGCATGCATATCTGGAAAATCTTTAGCAGACCTGAAAGTTGGCATATCAAGGGCATTGAAGAATATATTTTAGGTTTTCATCGTGCAAGTATTTAGAAAAGGCAAAGTAACAGCAGCACATATTCACCTCCTTTCATTTACATTTAAAACCAAAGATCTTCTTTTGAACTAAGTCACACAGAGAACCTACATCCTAAAGTACATCAAAGCACTGACGGACTACTTAAGAAAAAGTGGGAAACACAACCTCGGAAAAGTTCTAATTGGCACCATAAATATAATCTAGTTAACTAGACAGTTGGAGACAACCAAATTTTCAAAGACAATTTGACCAAACTACACATGTACCTTTAAATTGCATGTCTACAAATGGATTTTTTTCCCAGTATGTAGTATGTACCCAAACCATGAGTTGCATGGGCATAACACATCAGCAAATAAATATAGTATTAAACAGGTAAACAGATGCTCATACTCCAATGAAAAACAAATAAAGTTCTCTCTATAGCGACGTAGAAGAATAACTCGAGTTGGTGCAAATTTGTTCTCATCAAAGTTTCTCTTCTCAAAATAATTCAATCATTTGCAAAGACATCGTAGTAAGGGCCATGCATGATGCCAAAACTCAACTTCAGATGCAATTTACTAAAGGGAGCTGACAGGGCATAACCCAAGACTCATAATGCTATGTTCCAGTAGAAAAGGGAAAGCTAAGCACTGAAACTCACAAGAAAAAGTATAAAATCAATTTTAAATAAGCAGGAGAAAAATTGTATAAGGAATATGCACATTAGCATGGTTCTAAGGTTCTCCAAGGGGCCAGAGATGGATGAAGTTCACTTATCTATCTAAGATAATAAAGAACAACCTACTTCATCAAGAGCAGCTCGATGATACTCAGGGAATGCCTCAGATCCTAAATTTCTTTTGCAACAAACAGCACAATAGCCTTAGTTGTAATAAACGATAACTAACATAACCATACTCAACAATCACTGTACCTCGTGTTTAAAATATACAAAAGACTGAATATATATAGGACAAAGGAGGCTATATTGCCTTCATAAATTAGAATAATTAAGAAGCAATTGATGGCAATGTCAGCCATTTCATAAATCAAGCAACATTAGAGAAAAAAAAGGACAGACCAACACGATGTGGGATCTCAACCCACTAAGAGCCGATGTCTTGACGGCTTCACCCTATGACGCTTCACTCAGCTTTTCTGGTCAGCCCCTTCATAGGTAGCCCTTTCCAAGACATTGGCAACCATCTTTGATAGGCCACAATTAAGACAGGCTAGGGGTTATCACAATTAAGGCATTTATGGAAATGACTCCATACAAAACAACATAAATCAACAACGTAAATACCTCAACAAAAAATCCTTCATTGAAATTTCCTGACAATACCAAATGAAATCACACATGCAAAAGTAAAACTTTTAACAAAACTAGTTTCCAGTACTGTGAAGTATAAAATTCAAAGGTGTCAACCAAACCAGTTGATTGTCTTGTGGACTAGAGTAAAGTGATAACTCTTAATACTCACAAACAAGACATCAGAAGCTAGATGACTAAATTCTATGCAGTCAAATACAGGCATAGAACTGAATTTGACAGCCTGTTTCAAGGACCAAATTTGCTAGGCATGGGAATAACCGAATACATGTTATTACTGTCAAATTTTGTGAGGTTCGATAACTGTAGATAACAAACAGAAGTGATATGCTATAATGGGAAACAACATTGGGATCAGGAACCTAATATTTTCCAAAGCCTAATCTCCAGATAAATCTAAGTGGTAAGCGTTGTCAATCTGAAATAAAGTAACCAACTTCCTCTACTCAACCGAGCAGCACAAGTTTTCAAGACAGGAAAAGATCCATGATCCATCTGCTAAAACAATGGACACTTCATTTCTTAAAAATTTAGATTTATCACAGATTCCAAAATCCAAATATTTCCTTTGTCTCCTTGCGTACCTAATCTAAAGAGGTGGTCAAATGCCTAAGGCGCGAGACATCTTGCTCGTTGAGAGTCCAGTTCAGCCACTTTGGTTCAGGCAAGGCATGCTTTTAGTACCTCCAAATGTTACAACATAACTAGTTGTTAGTCTCCGGGATTTTAGCAGGAAGAAATCGAGTCACCTAGATTGAACAACTTATTTTTCTATTGTGACTATGATAATTATGCTATGCTTGAATATTTAACCTACATGGAAAATAACAGAAAATAATCATATGTTACTACTGTCCTTAAGAAAGTGAATTATAGGTCTAAGTCAAGCTTAGAAATCAGAGGAATGTTCCTCGCTTATATATACTGATTGGTCGATGTAAGATCTCGAAACAGGTGGCTCTTGCACGGGCCATAAAGAAATAAAGCGAAAGGAGAGAAAGTTAGAAGAAGGAATGGTAATGATCTGAATTGCAGCAAACCTGGCAGCGCCAGAGCCACACGCAAGACAGTGAAGGCGCCCCTGCTTGCCATCGTCCAAGTAACTCCTCTTCTGCGATACATTCTCGTTGATGAGCTTCGCGAAGTTGAAAAAGGCTCTCCTCAACGCGTCCTGATCGACCTGCGAGTGTCGGGAATTAGCCCCGTCGAGCCTGGAGAGCTTGGAGGGCCGCAAATCGCTGGGGCCGGCGGAGAAGTCCCCGCCGGGAGCCCTAGAAAGGCCGTTGGCGTTACGGAGAAGGTGGTCTCGCTGGCGGGCGAGGTCGGCGTCGTCGTCGGCGGCGTACTTGCGCTTGGTTTGGTAGTCGGGGAGGCGGAAGCGGGCGGGGCTGAGGGGCGGGAAGCGGGGGTGGAGGTGGGGCGAGAAGTCTTGGTAATCGGGGGGGAGGGCGAAGTAGGAGCGGACGCTGCCGTCGGCGAGGAC